ACAACGCACCTTGGACCGGACGTCCGCCATGACGCCTGGTTTTATGCGGGGCCTTCCGGGGGAAGGCTCTGGTCTATCACAACAATTCGGGTCCGACTGAACGGGTGACGGATGGTCGACACAGGCAGAAACCTAGACGACAGTAGGTATCCGGCCTCTCCTTTGGGGATGGGAAATGGGATAGGGGAGATAGAGGGATAGTGGTTGGAGTGAAGGGGTTGACTGACAGTACGGTGGATGGAGGCAACGTTTGTGGTTGCACCCGCCCAATCCGGTAAGGTGCGGATTGCTGCTAAGCGAATTCGGCAATGAGCACCGTGATTGGTCGAGGGGAGCTAGGGCTTAGGGTAAACGGCCAGCAGGATGACGCCCTGATGATGCTCAGTGATCACCTGCAAGAAGAGCTTCCCAGCAGCATACGAGCTGCAGTCGATGACCGTTGCTGAGCCCATTGTTCGCTGCCAATCTGTCATCATTATTGCTGACAGGGTGAGGCATAACCATCTACGCGGGGTGGTTGGAGCTGCTTTCCAGGCTGCTTTCCTCCAAGTAAGCGAAAAGAGCTCCTCCCGCCAACGGAGCACTGTAGATAGAACCCTCTCTAGTCTATCTACTATCTATAGCAATGATTGAACCCCCTCTCCTCCCCAGATATTCATCATTGGATACAATGTCCCCAGTCTCTCGACTAGTGATCCTGCACAGAACGAATTGAAACCGTCCACTATTCCGCTTCTGTATGCTCGTGCTCAATTTGCTCTGCCATTGGATATTGCTTGCTGGGCAATGCTGTCATTGTCCGACGCGGGTAAAGCACGTGACATTCCACCCATGTGACCCCGAGCTCATCTACAATTCATGACGCACTCAGAGCGCTGGACATAACTCGCTGTAAAGCGAATCTCACTTAGAACCATTATCAAATATGTTCATAAGAGCTGGGAAATGGCCCCCCGATGCAACTGCTCGGCAAGCCGGTCATGCATATATAACGAGCTAAATATAGACCAAGAATAGACATGCCTCACATGAACCACTTTCTTTCGACGCTGCTTTTCTTTGAGAAGAGAAAAATCACACAGAATACCGACCGCGACATCAAAACGTCAGAAACAGCAGTGAAACATCAAATCATATGGTATCAACCGCAAAACGCCAGGCAATGCTCCGAAGTTTCAACTTTTGTCTTCCAGTCATAAAGGTGCTCGGGGGCACAGCCAGGGAAAGAAGCCTGACTCCGTCCTCGCGAACATCACCCGCAGATGAGAAGTCGCACACATGCAACGCATGGAAAGAAGCAAACATAGGAAACAGGAACTCAATGACGCGTATTATTTTGTTCGTAGCTAAAGGGGGTTTGGAAGTGCATGCTGGCACTGAGCCCGAACGGATCGGCATCCAGCATGGGTTCATAGTTGCCCAAGATATGATTGGAGGAGTTGGTCGGGGCGTTGTTGGTGCCATACGCGCCATTGGTCCCCTCAGCAGCATGCGGGTGGTATTGATTAAGGACATGCTGTCCCATCGGATGGGCGCCCGGAGCCACGGACCCCGGGTTGTTGTAGCCGGACACATAGGACGAGGCCCCGACAGCCGACTCATGCTCGTCATCGATCATGTCTGCCTGGGCATCATATTCTTGTTCTATGGGCGGTTAGTGCCAAGTTGACAAGCTCATAAGCAGATATATCTTACCTAATTGATCGTAGTGCTTCTGGAAAGGAGATGGATAGTAGGCCGAAGGAACACGAGAAGCACGAGGGCCCGCAGCACTGGGGAGAGCAGACTTTGGCTCCGCCGTATCTGGCTGACCGATACTCATTGGAGGGGTCGTCTGGCTGAGGTTCCGCGAGTGGGCAATCATGTGCGAACGTTGAGTGTGTGGATCCACCCCAGCCGGAGACATCGCACCTTGGAAGGGGAAGGCGGGCGACTTGGCATGGGATGGGGAGGAGGCATGCGAGGGAGGCGTGGCCTGATACTGGGGCGAGGGAATGCCGTATGCGCCATCGCGATGCTGAGACATGCCAAAAGGTTCCTTGGGGGCGATGCCTTGGGGATGCCTTTGAGCGGAGTTGCGATTGACAGCAGCGCGCTCCAGGGCGGAGGGCGGCTTGGTTGTCATCAGGTTGGGCTTCGCCGGAGCCGTACCGGGGGCCCCAGCCTTGAGTCGCAGTTCAGCTTGGACATCAATGCCTATGAGGGGTCAGCATGGCTGAGACAAGGATAACTTTATCGGGAGATTGGATGCATAGATAAGGACACCGACCCTTTTCGAGAAGGATACGTTCCAGTAAGGAATTCTTATATCGCAACATCAAGCACTCATCGGCTGCGGTGCGATGGTTCTGTTGCAGCGTCTGAAGAGACTCCTCATTGCGCTTGATAGTTGATTCAAGCTGACGAATGTATTCTGTGCGACGCTCCCGGAATGCAGCCTGGGCCTGGCGGTTGCGTTGCTTTCGCTCTTCCGAGGTGGCGTAGATCTGATAAGGGTCGGGGGTCAGTCTAGTGAAGCTAAAATGCAGCAAGATAAGAAAGAAGGAATCAGGAACGAACAAGGGGGGTAAGAATGAGATAAAGCAGGTGGAAGGGGAGAGTAGGTGCATTGAAAGATAAAGCAGGAGGGCGAGGGAGGGATCTGACAGGACGATAAGGGACAGAAGGGAAAGGTGATGATAATGATAAATGATAATCGTGCGGGGCCCCGGACTGGCACGCAGGGTCACCTCCCGCCCAAACCCAACCCAGAGAGATAAGAGATGAACCAGAGGGGGGGAAACTCGAAAATTATAAGAAGGGAGCAAAGGGACTTCGTCTCTCAGAAGATCAGATCGGTTTTCTTACGTACAGGCTTTCTCCCACCCTTTCGCTTTTGTGTCTGGGCCACATCCTGGGTTAAGATCTCGCCATCCGCCTCAGGCGTGGACACTGCCGAACTGATTGAACCCTCAGGCATCGGCTCTGACTTGGGAATGACCGGATCCGTGGCCGGTTCATTTTGAAGAGGATGACTGGTGGTCTCGACCATAGAGACCATTGGGATTCTAGAGGGAAAAGGGGGGGGAAGGACTTCTGATGTCTTGTCCCCCTCTTCCGTGAAATGATTCTTTGCCTGGATGGAAATTGCCTTGAGGGTTTGGGGGGAGGGGAAAGGAAATGGGAGGATTTCCTTGGACAGCGATGATGTGCCCCCCTTGCGTTCTTGCGTGAGTTGGTGGTGGGAAAATGATGGTGGTATTGGATGAGTCACCCAACAGAATCCGGGGTTTGGCTGATATAACCTAAAAAGCCAAAGGAGGGGAAAAGAGGAGAACAAAAAAGAGGGGAAACTTTTAGATAATGGAAAAAAGAGTCCCCCCGGAAAGAGAACAGGGCAGATGACAGATCGAAGATCAGATACGTCTCAGGGACGAACCAACAAACTTTGGCCTGCTTCACCCTTCACAGAGAGACGATGTTCGCCAAAGCTGGGGTAAACGCGGTGAGAGGCGTTTTAAGATTAGATGAGATAATGGGAATGTCTCAATGAGGTAAAACACGTCAGTGTTCAAACCACTTGATAGGGAAGAAGATTGATCCCGGCGGGGAAGGGCTGGGCTGCTGCTGCGAGATAGTAGTTCAGACGCAGCAAACGCGCGGATGAGCGGCAATTGGGGGGGAGGAGGGGGGGGGAACGTGCGAACTCAGGCTGAGGGTCGCAGGGAGTCCGGCGGAGCAAGTGACATAAAAGAAATTGGGAACAGTGGTGAGAGATAGCCAGCGAGCGTCGGCAGGCAGAAAGACGTGGTGGGAGGAAGGAGAAAGTGGGAAAGGGCGAGAGGGTGGGAAGATGTGAGGTAAAATTATTTACTAACAAGAACGGGGTAGACCTTAAGAGGGCAAAGCATAAGAGCGAGACTAGTAAGTAGTCAGGGAAAATTTGGAGCAGAAGGAAGGGAACAGAAGGCGTGGAAGGATTAGTATTGGAAGGAAGAAAAGGAAAATGTGAAAAGAGAAAATAGAAAGAAAAAAAACTCTCTCATCATCTCATCTGATCATCATCATCATCATTATTATTTTTACTTCTACTCATTCCTTCCCCTCTCTTTCCTCTTTACTTCCATCTCCTGACTCTATAAACTGCGTTCCTTCTTTCCACTGTAAAAATTTTCACTTTCTCTTGCTCTCTGACACTCGCCTCGTCAAAATTTCCTTTGGGGGAATCCAGACTAACCAGTGCGACTGGCCTTTCCAGGGGAAGGAGGGCGACGAGAAAAAAAAAAGTGAAAAAAAACCAGGAACAGACGATCCAATCAATTCTGACCCCCCTCACAATCCCACTCGGAGGGGTTTGCGCTGAGAGACAATATCGACTGGGTTGGTGGTTTCGCCGCTTCCACAAAATCTGGTCGGGGCTTGTCTGACGGCCACCAAGTGGATAGGAATGGGCTTCCGTTCTACTACTGGGGACTTTGTTTCAAAGCGTTCTCATAAATGATTGGTAACCTCCTTTGAAATGGAGAACTATACCTACGAACTACCACTACGGCATGCTCAATCCACGCAGGAGAGGGGAAACTTCTTCCCTCGTTGCTGCGCTCTGCTCACTTCTACCTACTGACTAGCTAGCTAAGGTGATCTCGGAATTACTGGCAGCATGTTCGCTCCTTTACCCTCAGTGGCTGGCAGCGGCACCATTTCCCAAGAGAGGGAGGAAGTATCCACCGCGCGAGGTTCTGACCCAGCCGAAGATCCGCCCAAGGTACGGACGGAGTACGCCAGGCGGCCAGACATTCAAGCGAGCACACCCAGAAAGGACAGAGAGGCAGCAGACAAGAGCCAGCAACCTGCGCAGCAGCGAAGTCCAGATCGTCCTCTGACTGGCCACCAGCTCGTCCGCCCTGCCCCATGCAGGGCAACGGGTGGAGAGGGGGGGGAGGAAGGAGAACGTGTCGCGCAGTCTGACGCTTTGGATCGCGGTCCGCGGAACTTGGGATGATGCATCAATGCATTTGTTCGAATGTTCCATGCGCTCCGTCGTCATCCGGTTGTTCGTCACACTGGAGATAAATGTGTAGTTTGTCTGTAGGTAGGATCGGTTTTTTTTTTTTTTGCTTCTTTCGAGGTCAGAGGGTCGTATCCCCTACAGGCCGTCTGCCTTCTGACAGACCATGATGGCTGTTGACTGGGATGAGGGGGGAGGAGAAGAGGGGGGAAGTTCTTTTCCCTCTGGTCCACAGCCCGCGGAGATGTTCCGGCCGGGCAACAATAGCACGACGACCACATTCAATAACCAGTGGATGATGGTGGTCCGGCCAGAATTTTTCGTGGGTTCCGTTGGGGCGGAATTCTTGTCCTCTTGCGTCGACCCTCCTCCCCTCAGATCTCTCTCCTGCTTTGCATGCTTTGCATGCTTTGCAGTGACTGTGGTTTGTACCTCGGTTGACTGAGAAGCGAGTTGCTCGATCTGAGAACTCAATTGTCTTGTCTGACCTTCGACATGCCACTGTCAGGGAGCAACCAAATGTACCAAATGAACCAAACACTCGTGACCAAACCTGACGAGGATTTTCCCTGCCTCCGCACGGGCCGGGGGTCTGCATGGCCTGGTGTGCTTACCATACCATACGCGGTCGACTAAATTGCCCTTGTCAAGCAGGAATGACGACCTGCCAACAATTTGCTACCTGCCATAACAGTGCTAGATGAGATCCTCTGCGCCATAAGCACTACTCGTGCTCTCGAATGCGACCAGAAACCAGACCCAGGCCGGACTTTGCCATCACCCAAGTGATCCGATACAGTAACACATTAGGAGACCTCCGATAGGCGTCTGTTTGTGCAGGCCGAGAGCCGGCCCTCGCCTACTACGCACAGGACATACAGTACATACAGTACATACAGTACAGCGCTTCTTTCCCAGATCTGCAACCTCAATATGTGTAAATGCCCGCGGCTTACTACGGGCCTGGCAATCCGGGGAGGGATCATCATCATCACGAGGTGCAAGCCATGGGATCAGCTGAGGGTTCGCAACAATGGATGGGCTGATGGCAGGGCAAGCAGGCATTTCGCTTGGATCCTTGGCATCGTGAGAGGAAGGGAGAGGAGAGACAGCGAGCTGGCATTCTTGTCTCCATAATCATCGAACGACAACAGTAGAAGTTAAAACCCTGCAGTTGTAGTCGAGGCAAAAGCAGAATGACATGCACCTCCCTTGTGTGCGACTCGACTCTGGGGTTTGCGGTGCATTGCTTTGTCACTCTTTCCCCAGGAAGATGGGGGAAAGTCAGATGAAGGGCCTCTTATGTCATACGTATACTGAGTGATGCTTGTGGCATTTGATCCCTGGCTATCAATTCCATAGCACCCTGTAAAAACCGATCGATGCTCGAGTCTTGCCTCTCAATTGCAGAGAGAAAGAATCCAGTTGGGGTGCAATAACTTCAAGTGTAACCCCCTCAACACAGGATGATGTCCTATTCAATTCAACCAGGTCATCACTGAAACAACAAAAAATCTTTCTAAATGACCTGGTCGGTCGGCATTTCGAAGATGTTAGGCAGTTAACTAGTGGTTGGTTAGCAGTAGAGCCAACCCCAACGCCAACACCAACCCGCCAACGGGGGCCTCGGGAAACCTGAGTCGCGGCGCCGCGGCGCTCCAATGTCATCTCCGGATTAATCAGACTTCTTCACATGAAGAAGGAAACCTGACTGAAAGGGCCAACGCTAACAAATCTTCAAATCTTCAATTCCTCCTAAACCATTCATTCATCCACCCCCACCTCCAGACACCATCCACCCTTTTACAACTCATTGACTCCAACTCCAAACTGAAGATCCATCCTTTATCGCGAAAATCCACAACTTTGTCTAATCGATATAAAAACCCTGCGGATCAGCCACCGGAGAAGCTGGAATAGACCCAGACCCCCTCAACACCACCTCGGCTATACACAACCCCCCCCCCAAAAGCAACGGCGAGAATGTCCTCATCCCCCCCCTCGAAAGCAGACACAAGCCCTGCGCAGACGCAATCCACCGCAACCGAACACGACGCCCAAACACCATCCAGCCCCTCCACCAACCCCGCAGAGCCCACGACCACGACAACCAACCCCACGAGCACCACGACATCCTCCACCGCGCAACCCGCGCAACCCGCGCAACCCGCGCAACCCGCCAACAACGACGAGGATGATTCCGATTTCGACGAGTTAGACGGTCCGTCTTCCCCTCCCACTTCTATTTATGTGGTAAAGTGATTAGAGTGACGGCTAACAGCAAGCGGGGTAACTTGAAAACAAAAACAGACGTCCTCGACAACTTCAACAAACCCGCCGCCTCCACGACGACCACGCAGCCGCCTTCCTCCGCCACCGCCGCCGCCGCCGCACCCGCCACGGAGGATGTTGATCTGGACGAGGAGGCGTTCCTCAAGCAACTCGAGAAGGATATGGCTAATTTGATGGGCGCGGGCGCGGGCGCGGGTGATGCCTCGGCGGCCAGGGGAATGTCTGAGGGGTTTGGGGACGAGGAGTCCCTCGACAAGGACGCGGAGATGTTCGCCAAGTTGCTCGAGGAGGGAGGGGTGTCAGCGGAGGACTTTTTGAAGCAGTTGGTTGGGGATATGATGAAGGGGGAGGCGGGGGGTGCGAAGGGGAGTGGTGGTGGTAGCAGCGGCAGCGGCGGCAAGAAGAAGAAGAGTAAGAGTAAGAAGAAGGGTAGCGGGGGTGCGACGGCTGGGGAAGCGTCCGCGACGAAGAGTGCGCCTGCGCCTGCAGCAACTGATGCTGCTGCTGCTGCTGCTACCGCTACCGCTACCGCTACACCGGAGACCTTCAACGATACGATCCAGCGGACGATCGAGCGCATGAAGGAGTCCGGCGACAAGGCGACGGCCGCGGCCGAGGAGGAAGACGGCGGAGACGATGCGGACGACCTGGTGGCGCAGCTGATCAAGGCGATCGAGGCCGGCGCGGGCGGCGACGGCGACGACGCCGACCTGACCAAGATGTTCCAGGGGATGATGGAGCAGCTGTCCAACAAGGAGATCCTGTACGAGCCGATGAAGGAGCTCGACACCAAGTTCGGCCCCTGGCTGGCGGAGAACAAGGCCTCCGGCAAGGTGTCCGACGCGGAGCTGCAGCGCTACGAGAAGCAGGCCGGCGTCGTGGCCCAGATCGTCGCCAAGTTCGAGGAGCAGGGGTACACGGATGAGGATCCCAAGTGTCGCGAGTATGTGTGGGAGAAGATGCAGGAGGTGAGTTTAGTCCCACTGGCACTTTGGGGCGAGGGACAGGTTGGGGGCATCTGATCTGATCCGAACTGAACTGACTTGACTGTTGTATAGATGCAAGCTTGTGGGAACCCCCCGGATGAGCTGATTCCGGCGCCCATGATGGAGGATCTTATGGGTGGAGGGGCTGGAGCCGGGGCCGGCGCCCCGGACTGTCCGCAGCAGTAGAGGTCTATTTCTTGTTCTCGCACTGGTGGATGCTGATGTTTGTTTGGTCGGATGTTATGATTGCCGTTCCTCTGGCATTTGTCTGTCTATGTCTTGTACATATATCCCCTGCATTTGCGCTCTCCCTAGACGTATGTCATGATGGTTTGATGTAGTGGCTGGTAACGAGAAAGTAGTGACTCCGTGTGTAAAGGTTGTGAGAGGGAGGGACCTGGAAAATGAACATATAGCAACCATAGTCTCTCATAGTACGTCGCTCAGCCATGCATCCATGCCATTGAATCATACATTATATACCCAAAGCCTGCAACCATCATCTACTGGTCTCATACAGATATATACGTAACTCCTAAGTCCAACCTCCAGCAAACGCCCAAGCAGTCCATGATACAGATCTCCATCAGCCCCGAAGTCGACCAGCGACATCCGGAACCAGACAACCACTGCCTCAGAACACTCCACTCGAATCCCACCCCATAGAATCACGACATATCCATCTCCTGACTGTGCGCAAACCCGTCCATCCTCGTCTCCCCCGCCAAATCCATAAAGATATCATCATAATCCTCATCACTAAACGAGCCCGAGCCCGGGGCATCGAACCCCCTCTCCCACCCCATCTCTTCAGCAGCAAAGGCACCCCGCTCCTGCTCCAAAAGATACTGATCCAGCGCATCCATCTCCGCACCTTCACTTTCACCCTCATCATCCCGTTCGGGTTCCTCCTCCTCCACCAACCCATCCAACCCAAGCCCAAACTCACTCACCGCCGACCGCCGCATCGCCTCCCCCCACCGCTTCTGCTCCGCCACATGCTCCAGCAGCACCAGCTGCTCGCCGCGGTTCTCGAAGCGCCCGTCCGCGCGGTCCCGCTTCACGCGGTTCAGGAACGCGTTGCGCCGGGTGGTGCGCGCCGCCGGCGAGGCCGAGGTCCCCGTGTAGGGTCTGGTGGATCGGGCGGCGGCGTTGGCGAGCGGGTTGGCGATCTGGGCGGCGTAGCGGGTGGCGAAGCGGGAGGGGTGGTTGGTGGAGGATGCGATCGGGCTTGTTGTTGTGTTCTTCGTGTTGTCGGGGTCGAAGGAGAAGAGCGGGCCCGCGCTTGGTGCAGCGGAGAATGGTTTTTGGACTGGCGATCCGAAGCAGGATGCTGATGATGCGTCTGGTTGGAGTGGGGAGGAGGGGAGGAAGGTTGTTAATGGGGTTTCGGGGTCGGTAGGTGCTGCGCCGGCGTTGGCGGTGTTGGCCAGTGGGCTGGAGAAGAGGTTGCGGTTGTTGTTGTTGTTTTTGCTGGTGTTGGGAGTGCTGGGGGTGGTCATTGTTGAGGAGGATGAGAATGGTGAAGAGTGGTGACGGCGAGGAGAGAGTGGTGAGGGACGCGTGGGTATGCTGTAGTGCGAGTGCGTCCGGGCAAATGGTGCGGTTGCGGTGGTGTGAATGGGATCCGAAAATTGGTGTTCTTGCTGCTGCTGCTGCTGCTGCTGATATACAGGCTGCGTCGCGAACATCATTGCGAGCGGGCGATCGTTGCGGTGCGGATAGGGAGAGAAGGAGAGAAGCAGTGCAACTGTACTGTTCTCAGTGGTCGTGATGTGATCCCGCGGTACGAGCAGTGAGGTTTTGGGCTTGGTTCCGAGCGGTAGTCCCACTTTCTGTCTATGGTCGTGGATGTAGATAAGATCGGTTGTAGAACATGAGAGGACTTCAACGGATGATAAGCATCAATGGCGAGAAGGTGTTCTGGCGGTATTTACAGCGGTGTCTGTCGCTTCGAAGATTGTCCCAGCCACTACGATAAGGCAAAGTATTCGCATTTCGCATGCCGGATGGGAAATTCCCTCCCGCAACGCGTCCGCGTCAGACACGGGATCACGTGATCACAATGTCTTCATGCCTGTTATCTCAGGCTCTCAGGCGTTAAGAACATAGACATGTCAGCTCCGCCCCAAATAGGAGGCGGTAATGTAGTCAACTTGAGGACCATGCTTCTTTATAGAAAGCTTGATGATCATCAGGGACAATCCCCGGGCGAAACGCGTTCTTTCTCAGGCTCAGGCTAGATAATGCAACTCGGAATCCACCTACACAAGCCGAACGTGGGATTGAACACTTGCAATACAGCACTGTGTCGAGTTGAAACTGTATATCCTTTCATAGGTTCAGTGGTAGCCATTCAAAAGACACCCCTCCCTAAAACACATTCATTTCCTCTACAAAGCACCCCTAGGCAAAGCATAATGACGACATACTGCCGGACGGGATATAAAACGTTACGCGCAGCGACCATCTGCAGGGGAATGCGTAGTCGATCGATTGGTCATGAGACGGTCTATTCGACGCCCCCGAAGCAACATATTGCATAATTCATGCTTCAGGAGGCGCCGTCTAAGTCAACGATCTACCGCAGATCCTACAGCGAACAGACTTGATACTTCTCAAACATTCGGTCAATTAAATACATACAATCAAAAGCTTTTTGAAGGCTGAGATCGAAGACCTGCAATCCAGAGAGCAAAGATAGTGAGACGCGAGAATGCCACTGTCCAGCGTCCCCTAGAATGAATCAAATGCTTCGAGGGGGGAATCAAAGTAAACAGAGACCAATCATGCTAGAACAAAATCCGCTGTGCTATGTCAAGGAGTGTAGTGTATGTCGGAAAGAAGCGACATGTAGTCTATCAGAGAATGGGAAGGGGGGTTCTGCAAATGTGAAACACACATCAGGACAAAGAACTGAATAACGATAAAAATCAGACTCGAGGAATTCCTCGCCCACAAGCGCCATGAAAACTGCGTCATAATCGTACAAACTTTACAGTTCCGGAGGGAATATCCAGACATTGTATCTTATCTGAGACAAGCAGATACAGAGACCGAATATCGGGCCAGACTTAAAAGTTTGATGCCGCATTCACCGGACCAGGGTTGTGATACTGGTCAAGCGTGGTCTTGAAGGGCGTTCCACCGGCACCGGGGCTAGGAGCCTTCTCGCGAGCACCGGATCCGACGGCAGTGCCGCTCATGAGGTCGGCAGCTTCGTCGTTGTCATGAGCAGCCTTGCGAGCATGGATTCTCCAGGCCACCACCGCGATGGCTCCAATAATGATCGCACCACCGACACCCACAACAACACCAATAATGATCTTCTTCTGAGACGACGAGAGACCGGAGCTGCCGCTGGAACTGTTGGAAGAGGCCCCACTGAGGCTGGGGGAATCGGTCGCGCTGCTAGCCGGAGTGGAGGTAGTGGTGAGAGTGGTCTGCACAGGGGTTCCGCTAATGGTCTCAGTGGTGACGACGGTCTTAACGACAGGGGTAGCCGTGGTCTGGGCCGTGGTCTCAGAAGTGGTCGTAGAGCTATCTTTGCTGTTACTGTTGTTATTATCATTGTTGTTGTTGTTATTGTTATTCGACGAGGTAGTGGTGGCGGCAGCAGCATTAGTAGTTTGAGGTGCGGTCGTATCTGCTGCTTTGGTTGTCTTGGCTGCTGGTTCCGTGGTACTCGTGGTCTCTGAGCTTGACGTAGTCGTGGGCTCAGGCTGACTGGTAGTGGAACTGGTGGTCTCTTTGGTGGATGAAGTCGACTCGGTTGATGAGGTTGACTCGGACGTTGTGGTAGGAGCAACCTCTGCGGTAGTAGCAGCCGCAGCAGAGGTGATAGCGTTTCCTACGCCCGTGACCGCGGCGCTCTGGCCAGCGACGACGGCCACGAGGGAGAGGGAGTAAAGGAGGAACGAAAGACGAGCGGCTCGCATGATGACAGCGGTTGGTTGGTTGGTTAGGAGTATTAAGTCGGAAGTCAAGTATCTCTCAGAGGCTTCCAGCGCCGAACGGACGGAGGTTGTGGGAGATGACTGTCAGACGAGACGTAGATGGGTATATTGAGGAGGTCAGATTTCCAACGCGACAAAAGCCCAGATTGGAGTAAGCGATCGTATCTGTTGTCGGGGAGAGCGTGTAGTGGGTAAAGACACCGATGAGATAGGTGTCGAAATGTGAAAATGGAGGGGTTAACGAGAGACTGCAGATGTAGGAGACACCCGAAGGGCACACACACGATACAATATGGAGTGGGTAAGAGAAAGAGCGTAAGGAGGTGCGGGATGGAGATTATTGAAAAAGGACTGGAGAGGGCGAGAAGGGAAGGGAAGGGAAAGGTCAGTGAGTGGCAGTGGGGGGACGGGAAGGAAAGGATTGGACTGATCCGCTCTCTGCCTCTCCCTCTTTCTCTCGCTCACTCAGTAACTTACTAGGTAATCAGTCACTCACTCAGTCACTCACTCAGTCACTCACTCTCACACTCTCACACTCATTTCACTGCAATCCTTTGCACAACCGTCCGGCCGCTGAAAAGTCACCGGGCCCAGGCAATCCAAAATCACCAATGGTAAACGCGCGCCCAGCCGTGGGCGCTCCCTAGTGTTGGCGCTAATAAGGTCCACTGACCAGTCAGCGGAAGCGATATGAGACAGATTGACCAGGGGGTTCACTAGATTTTGGAACATTTTGTGCATTGTTAGCCCATTGTGACTTTTTGTGAGCATTTTCAGGCGCCTGACTTCGGGGCAGTGTCTTTGTTTGGGGCTTCGGAGGGGGGAGGTTGGGTCGGCAATCCCACTTTTGATTCGTGGTCTTTCCACCGGCACACCCGAACCTCCTTCATCAATGGGTCTCACTCATACCCTAAGGCCGTTAGGATTATTATCTGTCTATCTGTCTCCATATCAAGTCAATACTCAGTACGGAGTAGACCACTAATTATGACTGCTTAGGCTAGCATACTGCTTTTTTCATTCCCCCCCCTCATCGCTAGCCAAATTGATAGTGTGGGAGATCTTTATCCGATCTCTAACAAATTAATGAAGATTCCGCGACTATGGTTCGGTGATACTATTTTAAGGTCTGTACCGTGGATTCGACGTACCAACAATGACAGTACCACAGAACCTCATTCAGGTTCATCTTCAGTTCCGTTCTTACAGTCCTTACTCCTTAGGTCCTGAGGCAAGACTCAAAACATCCCAAACAATGCCATCCACCAACCCGAGTCCCTCTCCCTTGGACTTCATGTTTCGCCTGGAAGTCCCGCATTCCTCCGCGTCGTGGGCAGTGGAGTAATTACTCAGTCAGTCCACATCATCCATCAGACAGACCCTGGGAGGTGCAAAAAGGTACTGCAGAAAAAGGAATTTCTGATTGGCACCCGGTCTCGTGCCTGAAAGAAAATTTCGATTTAGACCCATCGACATTATGCCGGTGCAGCCGACGGTGCTCCATAATCAGACTCTGTTTTTTTCTTTCTTTTTTTTTTTTTTTCTTTCGGGGTGGGAAGATCGCCTTAACCATCCAACATGGTTTAGCGTGGCGAGACAGAAAGAACTGCAGGGGCAAGCCATCCCTTCTTGACCTACGGATATGTGTACAGCACTTGGGTAACTAGGCGATGCTGGAGCATGCCCTACGGTGGGTGTTATCCCGTTATCTGGAGCAATTGGGATGCATAGATACTATTATTGCCCTGAGCTTTGTGCATCTCGAACGAGTCCATTGGTCTTGACTTGTGTCTGGCCAGTCTGCCACGGAACAACCAAGTGGTCTGGACAATGTCGAAATGGGCAAAGCTTGCGTGTCCACGCAGTCGAGGCATGATCGGATGGGGAAAGCTTGGTCTTATCAGATCTCGTGGACACCTGAGTCCCTTAGAAAAAGACAGTTCACAGCTCCCCTCCGCCTCTCTGATCCGTGATGTAAGGGTGTCTCAGATGTAGACATGCGACACCTAGAGTGATATCATCCTGAAGTCCACCCATTAGAGCTGATTGTACCGGGCTGCTCAAAACCTGCAAGACCGTGCAGCGACAGCAGCAGAGTCAACTGCTAAGCGACTTGCACTCGCAATTCAACCATCATGCAATTTCTCTCGCCTTCCATTATGTCGGATTACCCATATAGGAATCTGTATGAGAGCAACATGCTAGAGTTGTTGAAAAGCGTCTAAGCCTCGCTATCATCATGCAGAGATCCTCGCCTCAACCCTCAGACCACCGCAGACCCGGTTGACTTTTCTTACTACTATGTAGTCATGTAGTCCGGAGTATGTACAGTATGCATCATCCGATATCATACCTCTCAAGCCACATTGCTTCAATCCCGGATATCCCGGCGAACTACGGAGTACTCCGTACACGAGATACAGTATGCACAGATGCACAGTACCAGAGCCCATGCTCCAGGCTGAGAATCACTCGACCCCATCGCAAGCCACCTGAATTCAGCCACTACCTGCAGAGACGGACTAAGCACGATCAATCGGACACATCACACTGTACGGAGTACAGTACGATAAACAAGCCACCGCCAGGGCCTTCCAGACAGTAGTTAGTTAGCAGGAGTCTTACAAACCACCTGATCCAACCCTCGTAAACACCCATAGCCCAAAGCTTAAGCGCAAAAACAATAGTTGCTAGCAAGCCACCCGAGCGTTGCCACGAGGGAAAGGCTGGCAGTTGCCACGAAAGCGAAGCCACTCCCTGCTGACTCTGCCACAGCGTCACTTCCCATTATTTCTGTCTGACTCACCGTATGTTCGTTGTCCGATGCTTACGAAGAAGAGAATAAGTTACCTACGGAGTACCCCGTCTAATCCTCCCTTAGCAAGTTAGCATAGTTAACACGCATATGGATCGTGGGTTCTGCTAATTAGCGGCCACTTCTGCGATTTGGGTTGTAGACGTTCCCGAACTAAATTTACGGGAAATGCAAGTTGCAACTTGTAACTCAACTCTGTATCTCATGCCTGTAAGTAATTTTGGAAATGGACTGCTGAGTTGGCAATCACACAAACACAAGTAGCGAAAGTAAACAGAAGGAAGGGTAGACTAAGGGTAGACTAAGGGGACGGGAGGCGAGGGAAACAGCCTGGAAAAAAGCCCAGCCCAGACCAGACCCCCTCGAGACCCTGCATGACACCTGTAGCGGTAAGTTGTAACCACGGACGGAGAGGCACGCACTGCTTGCTGGCGTCCGATTCAACTCTACTACCAAATACAACATAAACAAGATGGGACCACTTTCCAACCCAATAATACTCCATTAACTCATGAGTCCTTCTCCATAATAGCCAACTGTTTCTGCAATGCATTCAAATAAAGTGATCAATTAGTAGATAACTCTCCGGACTTTAAGGCGTGCCTTCGTCGTTTCCACAACATTCCGCGCCTCCCCTTCTCCCCCCTCGAATGCTTTCCGGCTGATCGGCAGTCGGTGACGGGTTCTAGACTTCCTGTTGCACTCTTCACTGTCAACCCTCCCCCCCTCCCCCACCGGGGTGGTCGTCATCCAACGTGACTGGGCTCTTGGGGAGGAGGGGTGGGGGTTACTCTGTCGGGTTGAGTACTGTACTTGCATGCACTTTCATGTAGGGGTCTGGATCTGGAACCCGGAGAGGTGGGTGGGTGGGTGTGGTGACGACTACGTGGAGCGGTTGGAGCTTTGGGGGTTGCGCGGGTTTATCTACCGGAGTGCGTGTGGGTTCGGCCTACGCGTGCGTGCGTATGTTGTTTGTGTGTGTGTGTGTGTGTGTGCATGCTGATGTTCTTCTGGACAGACAGGGTCGGCCTAATGTCCATCTGATTTGTGTACATGTACCCATACAGTCGGTTGGAGAAGTGAGTATGCTTGAATGCTTGGGGGATCTTTGACAAATCCACCTAGGTTGGTGACTGCTTCAACCCTGAGTTCGTATTGGGTAGATGAGGTTTATAGGGTTTTGTGCTAGTCTATGCGGTTTGCCCTGCCTTGCCTTAGGGGAGTCAGTTGTGCATAACTTACCAGCGGCTTTGCAGGTCTTGCTCGCACAGGCGGGCGTGCCGACTGCGACATGGGCAGGGCTCGATATCTACGAGATGGGCATATAACTAGATGCATGAGTTCTTCCTGGATGACATATCTCTTCAGTCGACGAGTTTCCGAGATTGAAGTTGCTGGTGCGAAGATATGAACATTGATGGTTCATGTTGCCTACAATTGTGAGATGTTTACTTTCATTCACAGATTCGACCTGGGTGGACAAGAGAGCCGATTCAATGAAGTGGACGAGGCAGGACGAGTGCTCGCTCGACACTGATTCGGATGATGGATGTACGCTATGCAATACACCATCAGTTGGTCTGGCACCAAGCAAGAAACCGGAGAATTACTAAATAAACAGTCTGAATTGATGGGTATCATAGGGATATAGATTGGTTGATATGAGCCTCCGCAGTCGAATTTCCAGCTCGCCGATCAGTACTTCTCCGTGGGCTTTCCTTTGAATTGATTCTGGCACTCCTCCTTGAAGTATGCCCAGAACCTTCTCGGGGTAGAATCTAGGAATGTATCTTGTCAGGACCACCAATCCCCACTCAGTGTATTTCGAGACTCTACACAGATGGCAGTCAATCTGTGCGTATGAGTTGTTTGGCATACCAGGGTTTGAGAGACGGCCGGAGCCGCTAATCCGGGGCGTCTCTGGCGGAGGCACGCCGTGTTTCACACGTTCAACTTGTTCATGGACCTTCCCAACGACGCGGTGAAACGTCCGGCTGGAGAGCAGCTTTTTTGTCATAAGGAGCGACTTTGGTCAGTCTTAAGGTTTTCGCAGCGGACTTCGGCCATCGTTGACAAACCTGACGAACGAGCAGCGTCTGAGAGAGAAGGGAAAGTGCATTAGCATTAGGCTGCTGTGCGATGAAGGAATGAGAGGAGTCCATTATGCCCAAAGACACACACCTCCAACGCTTGGAGCCCAAGCATCCGGAAGACCATCCTGCAGAGATCCTCAGGGAATTCAGTCGACCGTCTATGGTCTACCGGTGGAACACCATGAGCAGCACTGTCGGTGATAGTGTAATCAGTGGTTGCAAAAACAGGTGGCGGTTTTGGCTACGGCGCTGGGAACACAGTTGTGGTGCTGAGAGAGAAAGAGCGGAGATTAAAGCGAGTCCGAGATGAGAGATTACCTAAGGACCCGACCGGTGCAGCGGTGCTTGACTTGACAGGGCCAATGACAGCCACAGCCGAGACTGGGCAAGCAAACAGCAGACCGGGGCCAATGAGAGACAGGAAAGTCTCCGACGCGGGATGGAACCCTTTACAAGAATGCATCTCCGATCGTGAATGGAGACTGTCCCAGATGAATTAAATGAATTATTTTGACTCTCCCTCCCTCTCTCATCAAGGTAAGAGTACATACTATGTAGATCGATGAAGGGAAATCTTGAATTGCCTGCCGGAGCTGATCCAGGTCTCCTGATTACATCACCGTTCTTGTCCCGAGGCCAACGAAACAATTCAAGGTCCCTGGCGGAATACCTTATGCATGCCCATCTCCGGATTGCCAGGACCAGCTATGAATCCCATTGTAGTGATTAGTCCAATACCGTTAGTTTTATACAAGATCGATCCTGCCGCGGTCACTGGAAAAAAAATTCTTTCGTCTGTGTTGATATAGGGTTGGACTTGCAAGGACATCTTGACAAGCTATACTTCCTCTTCGCATTCTTGCTCTGTTTCCACATACGCTCTATTTCTCTCTTTCTTCCCGACCAAAAGTCATCGGACGGGTGGCCACGTTCTCTGGCAGTGCGGGGAGCGCAGCTTCAAAATAGCGCCGCGAGGGGAATATCCGTGAGGGCAAGGGAAAGAGAGAGAGAGAAGAGAGAAAAAAAAATTGCTCCTCTGGCCTTGGCCCAGGTTCAAGCATTCCCCCCCCCTTTCTCGTTGGGATATGGTGTGGCATTTTTTATCGTCAAGAGAATAAATATAGCAGAAGAATTTCACCAGCCACGATCTTTGCCACCTGAATTGAACTCATAATCTTATTCAACCCCTCCGCGACCCCTCAGGGCTATCCTTGCCGAGATTGTTTTGTCCAACTACCTAACGGTACATACATACATACATCCATCCAAACCTACATACCGTTGGCTGCATTGACGCCAGTCCGATTTGGTTGAAAACAAAAACGATTAGTCCGTCGGACGAGTCAGCCTGGCTAACGTTACGATTCGTGCGCGCCTTGTCCCCGTGAGATCGAGAAATCTGGCCAAGCACATTGCCGTGTCGAGGGGCAGCTTCCACAGCTGTCCCGATCTGTCAACGCTTCAGATATCCCCCTCATCATCCCTGCTGCTGCCACACGACGCCGCCGCCGCCGCCCCCAACGACTTCGAGGCCACTGTCAACCCTCCCACCACCACCACTGCCCCAACCTCCCGTTCTCCTTCTCCCCATAGTACTGCCAGTCTCCGCAACGGTCCTCGTACACTCGCAGCCACCAGAAAGCGGGTCTCCAAAAAGGCGCGCGGCGTCCTGGGCAAGGTTCGGGCCTTCCAGAGGATCGCTGCGGCCAAGATGGCGCATCCCTCCATTAAAATCGACACGAGCGTCCAGTCTACCAAGCGCGCTCTCCCCGAGGACACCGAGGCAGGCTTGGAGATCGCATACGGCTCCGATGACGCCCCAGCGTTGGACGTTGGCGATCATGATTCCGTGCCGCCGTTCCTCTGTCAGTCGGTCGTAGGTCCGTTTGCGCCCGCTTTCTCTACCCCTTCCCCCAAGCGCAGCGCTTGCTGCTTGCCGTTTTTACTCTCCATCTCATGCGCTGGCTCTTCGACTAATTATTCCTTGCTGGTATCGCAGAAATTCATAACAAATTCGAAGAACTTGAATGGATGCAACGGACGCGGCTTCTGGAGGGCACGCAGGCCAACGACCCCTCACATCGATGGGCGCTAGAAGCAGATCCGGAAGTTAGAGCAAGGAACCGATATATGAACGTCCAGGCATGGGCCAACTCTCGCATTCATCTGCGCGTCCCGGAAGGTGAATGCGACTTCATCAACGCGTCGCCGATCGTTCTTCAAGATTCAGTGTCGCAGCAGGCAAGGAGGTATATTGCGACCCAGGTAAGCGGGGCACAAACGAACGGGACATTTCTGCGGGCTCTACTAATCTGTTGTCATGGATAAATAGGGCCCGAAGCTTGGCCATGTGGCCCATTTCTGGCAGATGGTGTTCCATGAGAGCAAGGACGTCGGAGTAGTCGTCATGCTCACGCAGACCTTAGAGTCCGGGCGCGAGAAGTGCTCGCAGTATTTCCCCCTCAACAGCGACAGCCCTTCCATGCCTCTGCGGCAAGTCGAGTCCGATCAGTACGCAAGCGACGACGATCAGCACAGCAACGGCGAGCTCTTGGGGGAAGTCACACTTTTGGAGACCTCGTGGGATCCCGCGTCGCGGTCTGAAATCCGAAAGCTTCAGCTCACTTTCGGCGGCGAGACCAAGACCGTGTGGCACTTCTTATTTGCTGGCTGGGCCGATTACTCCAAACCCGAAGGCGAAGATCGGGATGCGCTTTTGCAGCTGATCAAGCTGTCCGACTCGAAGAGCGCGCCGGACAATCCACGCATCGTGCACTGCAGCGCCGGCGTGGGCCGCACCGGCACCTTCATCGCGCTCGACCACCTGTTGCAGGAACTCGAATCGGGCCAGCTGCTGGAGGCCGTCGGCCCGGAGGTCGACCCCGTCTTTGAGACGGTCAACCAGATGCGCGAGCAGCGGATGATGATGGTCTACAATGAGATGCAGCTGCAGTTTATATACGAGGTCCTGCGCGAGCAGACCGATCTGAAATTGGGCAAGGTTACCGGGCGCAAGTCGGACGAACGGTCCACCAAGATGGCCAAGTTGTCCAACGAGGCCAAATACCTCGCCAACTACCACGTTTCCTCCAAACCGGAGTTGGAGCCGTCCACACCGACGCGTAGCTGGTCGGGGACACCGGAGGTGTCTGATAATGAATGAGCGCCCCCCTCGCGGCCCCAATAATCTTCACCTATAATCTTCTCCAGTACATATTTTTATTCTACTCTAATCCTTACATTTGTTAACTCCGTCCACCGCGACGCTTGTTGCAGTTGTCTTCGTCTCCACCTTTTGTTCTATATTTATAGTCACGATGAATATCTTATGAATTGTTCTTTGGCATCATAATGTTATACTCCTTGCCTCTCCATGGTGTTATCTGATGTGCTGACCAGGCCATGTCGCCGTTCATGACCGGGAGTGGAGATGTTATATCGACGGCTGTGTGACTTCGGAGTCTCCACAACTCTCGTTCTTTTCTCTCTGCCTCATCTTTCCTACATACCTATTAGAATTGTGAACCGCGCTGCATGTTCGACCTTATTCCCAATCTGCCTCCTATGCTTCACTGCCAGATAGATCTACTTACCTACCTCCCTGATACTCCAATTCACGATTCTACAGGCTATGGCCCGAACTCACCACACTAATCTCTTTTCTGCATGCCTTATGAACACGATACCCACAGAACCATCAAAACTGGATACCCTCCCCGTAAGTATATCTGTAAGCAATAAACCAGGTTTCCCCTCGCGCAATCCAGCCGCCGAAGACAACCGAACCCGAACCTGCAAAGAAAGAGGGAGGGTGAAAAGCGCTCCAGAGAAAATCAGAATCTAATACACAAAACCCGCCTATTTGATCAAGCAGGCGTTTCTCGCCCACCATTCACGATGCAAACTCCCCTCCCTTAGAAGGTCTACCTCCTTCCAACGGTGGGAATAAAACTACCAGTTCGGTTAGAAAGCCCTTTGGTACAGTGTATATTTGCAAGGATCACGGGCGAGGTAGATGGGCTGCTGGGGGGGGGGGAGCAAAGATAGATAGATAAAGCTCGATGGATGATGGTCATGATGTGTTTTGTGGCGTGGTTGTTAATGTTCTTGTTCCTGTTCTTGTGCATGAGGATGAAGGCCCATGGGTGATAGTTGTATATACTATATGACAAATATGGGGTGCGGATATGGCCGCCGCGGTAGGGTGAGGGTGGGATTCTGGGATTTGAGAGGATCGGAGTGCTCATGATAGCTGGGTAGATGTGATGGGGTTGAGGGCGTGGAGATAGAGCACCTGACAGAGGGGGGTTTGGAGGTCGATCGTCATGTACGTCGTTTCTAGGAGGGCGGGTGGTCTGTCTGCCAAGTACCTGGGTGAAGGTTCCAGTTGCAGGTTGCAGACCCTACCGGCACGAGGGTTGGATTTGGGTTGGGAAGAGATAGTTGGGGGAGACTGATCGATCGATTGGTAAAGTTGAAAGGAAGAGATATCACACAATTGTATGGTCAATCAGTTCAGCCAACCGACCCATCCCAATCAATCAATTTTCCAGCGATCAAAAAAAATCAATCACTCCGCTTCTTCCCATCCCCGGCCTCCCCGGGCGAAGACCCGGCGGTCCCGCCTAGCTCGTCCGGCCCATCTTCCGTGTCCCAATTGTCCACGGCGTTCTCGTCCCAGTTGTCCACCTCCTGCTCCAGGTTCAGGACGCCGGTCTCCTGCGGGCCGAGGCCGTCATGGTCGTCATCGAGGTGGTGGCCGCCGCTGCCGGCAAGCCCCAGCTCCACGTCGTCGTCGGCGCCGTCGCCGCCGCCCAGGCTGCCGAAGCGGGCCTTGCGGCGCCGGTCGAGCATGCGGCGATGGTACCAGCTGCACAGGCCGACGGCGCCCAGGCTGCCGACGATGTTGGCGAGGAGGTCGAAGGGGTCGAAGGTGCGGCCGTTGGGGAGCAGGCCCTGGACGATCTCGGAGCCGATGCCCAGGATGAGGGTGCACACGACGAGGGTTAGGTGCAGGGTGCGGCGGCGCGAGGTGTCGGGGATCCAGTAGAAGACGAGCGACAGGAGGAAGAAGGTCACGACATGCAGGAATTTGTCATTCGGTTGCAGCTGGAACGGTATGCTGGACGAGTCGCTGTGGGGGAGGAGGCCGATGTAGGCGGCCAGGATGAGGAGGAAGACAAAGGCGCCTGTTTTGGATGGGATTGATTAGCATGGTTGAGATGTATGGAGTGGAGAAGAAGATGCTGTAGTTCAGAACTATCTCCGGATAACTTTGTGTGTGGTGGATAGAGATAGCTTGGGAAATTCATCTTGTCTGTGTGTTTGCCCGGAATGGGAGGTGGGAGAGAGCAATCGATAAGAAGATCGAATGGGGAAGAGAGCAAATACTCACCCGCAAAAGGATAGCGGATTCGCATGATGAGGAGAAGAAGGAAGTCAAGAAACAATCAGAAATTGGTGGACAGCGACCCAGAGCTGGCTGGGAGGAAGCACAGAGGTCGGAGGTCTGGTGATGTTGGTGATTGATAGATAACTTGAAGTTCGCTAACTACCGAACTGGTGATGCAGTTCCGAGAACGTCATGTGCTGGCTTGCTTGCTGTAATCTGTGACTGTGACCATACGGTAAGGTAAGATCAGGCCGTCAGGCATCCAATCCCGTTGCTTTCTAGCACTGTTACTTCTGTTACTTCTGTTACTTCTGTTACCTCTGTTACCTCTGTTACTTCCCATCCATCTTCACCTAATTGCTTGCTTGCTTGCTTCAACACTTCTTTTCTCCCAATCCACATAGCACCACAGACAATCAATGATCCAGAACACACCCTTATACATCTACCCTACCTGTTGACATTCCCTCTTTGTGTTTGGATTCATTTATCTGTTGAGTATAACTATCACTATCCCTCCCGGGAACAGCTCGGGCTTAGTATCAGAACTGCGCGGTTGGTCTAAACCTGCGGCGGCCGCCGTTCCGCCTTTCACGGCTGCTGGAACCTCACCTCATCCCGTTCGCGCAGAGAACCTCGTAACTGTACGGCAGGCGCCCTTTGCTTTCTTCCATCAAATTTCGCTGCCCTGCCATCACTTTTGGCTCTTGTTTCATCGTCCTTCGCTTCTTCGCGCTCGTTCCTGAATCTCTATGTCGTTTTCCGCCGGTCTCCCCGCCCCGTTCTTCCCTCTCCGGACTTGATATCTCCCCCCAGCCCAGCCGTGGAGAAACGAGCAGCAGCCCCCTCCCTCGCCCGCGCCCCCAGAATCGGGGTTTTGGAGCGAGCATGTCGCTCGGACACCACCACGCCTGGCTCCCCCCAGGCCATCTGCGCCCTCCAGATGACCTTCATGATGCGCGGTCGGCCAATGGCTTTTCCAGATCTTTTTCCGGCGCTCGCACCCCCCAGTTGCGCGCCTCGGCCGATGCCGACGGCCTGCACGCGGGAACTTTGATATCCGATGCTGATCTGGCAGCCGACGATGACCCACGTATCGCCATGTTCCGGGACTTGTACAAGCGCAGCGAGGCGCAAATCAACGATCTCTTCGCCAACCAGAAATCCGCCGAGGAGGCCGCCCGCAGCGCGGTCGCTGATGCGGAGGAGACCCAGACTAAGAGCCAACGCGCCGACGAGTCGGCTCCGCCTCCCGCACCCGCCAAGAAACCCGCGAGGAAACTCGACGATGACGACTACGATGACTACGACGACGACGACGACGATGATGAGGCTCCAACCCCTCCTAAGCCCAATTCACTCGGCACATCTCACGACCCGAGCGGTCTCCCGTCGCCCAGTCGGCCCTCCAGTGGCTCCGTGTCGGTCGTCATCGAAGCGCAAAAGGAAACTAAGAAAGAAACCCTGGAGGACATCCGCAAAAAGCTAGAACAAGATAAAAAGGCTACCGAGGAGGCCGCCAAACGGAGTTTCCACACCCTCTTTTATACCCTAGAAAATGATAGAGATGCCATGCTGGACCAGCAGCGACTGGAAGAGTCGGAGCGCCAAGTCGAGGCGGAGATGTCGGGACAGGCCAACGCAGGCAACAACCCCAATTCCAACTCCAATGGGTACGGCTCGCTGAGTAGCGCCAACCTGGGCGCCTCGAGCCTGACCCTCAAGAACCTGATCGCGCGCATTGACATGAAGCGCACCATGGTGCAAGCTTCGGATGCAGAGCTGCGCAGTCTGATGAGCGAAGTTCGGAAGAACCGAAGCAAGTGGGCCAGTGAGGACAAGATCGGTCAAGAGGAGCTCTATGAGGCCGCCGAGAAGGTCCTCAGTGAACTCAAGGCCATGACAGAACACTCGACGGCGTTTTTGACCCGTGTCAACAAGCGCGATGCGCCTGACTACTACACGAGTAAGAACTCTCTGCTTTTTGCGAACGGATCGTCGCTCTTCAATATGCTAACCCCCATTTCAGTTATCAAGCACCCCATGGACCTTGGCACTATGACTAAGAAGCTCAAAGCTCTGCAGTATAAGTCGAAGCAAGAATTCGTTGACGATATCAACCTAATATGGTCCAATTGTTTCAAGTACAACACTAACCCCGAGCACTTCTTGCGTAAACATGCATTGTATATGAAGAAAGAAACTGAGAAGCTCGTTCCCCTTATCCCGGAGATTGTCATTAGAGACCGGGCTGAGGTGGAAGCAGAAGAGCGGAGGCTCCAGCTCGCCGAGATGGATGGCGCAGACGAGAGCGACGATGAGCCCATCATGTCGTCCCGCGGAAGGAAGGCGCCTGGCAAGTCATCGAAGAAGGGAGCTGCTCCTGTGCGGAATACCCCCAGCGGATCGGAACCTCCTGCGGGTCAAGCCTCTCAACCACCCGCGCCTGTACGGTCGGATTCAGACACCGTGATGGAAGGCACCCAGAATGGCTTTCCCACGCCACCTCCCGGGGGAGCGCAAACCCCATCGGATCCTGCTGGTGTTGGCGCCGGTGTCCAAGGAAGCCAGGGTGACGCCATGGAGATTGATGGGTTAATACCTTCGAACAACAATACCCTGACTGCCTTACCAGCGTCTGGCATGGAGTCGGAGGACCCCGAGTATAAAGTCTGGAAACAGGTCACGAAAAAGGATCGTGCTGTCATTGCCGCGGAGCGACATCGCCTGTTCAAGGGCGACAAACTCAACTCTGAGGAGCCGGCCCTGCTTAGGACCAAGGCTGGCATGAGACGGTGGCTGAGAAACCAGATGCAAATCAATGCCGAGGGCGACAAAGCCCGCGAGTCTACCGCGCAGGGTCTGGACCCTGGTGCAGCGGGTGAGACCCTAGCCGAAGGAATCGAGGTGGACGAGGATCGTGTTATTCCTGATTATTACGACGTAATGTCGGGCGTCCCTGACCTGCCTCCGCATTTGTCATGGAAGGAGGACTCCGATGGTAACATTGTGGATGCCTCTGAAGAATTCTTGCGCGTGCTGCCGTCCGGGTCTTTCACTCAACCGGACAGCAAACTTTCCCGCAAGATGGATGCGAACATGCGTCAAATGCAGGAGACACGGAAGGTGTGCTCGAAGATCGGCATTGTTAAGCAGATGCAGCTGCAATCTCAGGTAAGTAAACCTTAAGACTTTACTGAAGATCACGGGTCCTGATGCGCCGCAGATGTACCAAAATCAGTTCCAGAAATATCAGCCTGAACCGTTTGTTGAACACGATGTTCCCGCGCATGTGATGAACGACGGGGGCCCGGTCATTTCTCCGTGGGTGTGCAAAGCAGCCCTGCAGCGCTCAGTAGCGAAGATATTCTATCACACTGGTTTCGAAGAGTATCAACCGTCAGCTCTAGACGCAGTTACCGACATCGCCTCGGATTTTTTCCAAAAAATTGGAGAGACTTTGAAGTCATACATGGAAACACCGAAGCTTCCGGCGTCTGAAACTCCAGAACCGAACACAGCGCCGCAATGGAAACGAGCGTATACGGAACCGGAAATGGTCCTCCATACGCTCTCCTCTGTTGGTGTCGATGTGGAAAGCCTGGAGTCATACATCAAGGACGACGTCGAACGTCTCGGGACCAAGCTTTCAACTGCCCATGACCGTCTTCGGTCGTTGCTATCCGAGCTTCTGCGACCTGCCCTTGCGGATGGCGGCGAAGATGGCTCCAGTGCCTTCCAAGACGGAAGCGAGCAGTTCATTGGCGGTGACTTCGCCGAAGATATCGATGAAGACTTCTTCGGATTCAAGGAGTTGGGGCTGGACAGAGAGTTTGGGCTGGCTACCCTCAGTGTTCCGCTTCATCTTCTGCAGAATAGGATGTACAATGCTGCTCAGGCGCAGAACACAAGGTGCGTCTTTTTTCACTCCTCCCAGACTGAGACACTCATGCTGACATTGTCATCAGTGCTGCACAAGCTGTCACGCTCTTTCCCCCGCCTCCCGCTTACCCTCGCATCACATCTGAGACATTGTCTTCGCAAATTGGTCTGGTACAAGGGTTCCTTGGTGCCAAGTTAAAGACCAGTAACAGCGAGTCTTTAGTCGAAGATCTTGAGCTTCCCCCGAAACAACGACCTACGGCCGGGCGACCTCGTCTTCCTGCATCCGGCAAAATTCAGCCACCTGCAGCAGCTTCAGGTCTCACCACCAGCCCCCAGAAGCGACCTCTTCCCCCATCTGCTGCAAGCCAACAACCCGCCTCCAAGCTCGGAATGTCGGAACCCAGTAAGAAGAAAGTCAAGAAAAACAGTGGGGCCAGCATCGGCGCTTCTGAATCTGTTGTAGAAGGAGAGGAGGCATTGCCGGGTGTGGATGGCACGAAAGCTTCAGCCACCACCGCTGTCAAGCCCAATCCCGCTGATGAGCCTTCTGTGGATGCCACTCCTGACCTTAGTGGCAAAAGGGACATGGATACCGGGCCTGATGGCGTCGGTGCGGAAAGCGTTGACAATGCTGCATCACTGACGAACGGAACGGTGGCTGTTGATGCGTCATGAAATGTTATGATGATCATGGTATAAGACCCTTTTTGAGTGGTCTCACGTTCAACCTTGTTTTCTGGGCTCGGGTGATTGGCGGGTGGGCACAAGGTCGGTTTTGGAGATTCCTGTAACTGTAGCGTTTGCCATTTTTACTTCTCGTCCCTTTCTCCCTACCTCTTACTATTATACCTGGCATGGTGAACCCTTTTTCCCTTCGTGATTTGTCTTCTTTTTGAGTATATTTTTGCCACCTTAACATCTGACAGCATCACCTGACCACCCTCTTTCCTTTTCTTTCTCTGCGTCCCCGTCCTTTTTGTGATCCTTTGTTGTGCTCAGTGTGCGATAGGCGCGTGTTTTCTTTTTCTTTACTCCAGAATACCGGAGTGTATGAGTGCAGCGAAGGGCAACGGAGGGATCAACAAATCTAAAAAGTGAATCCACATATCTTTCAAGGAACGAGACTTGTGCAAACCAGGATCTCTTTGGTATGAGATTTGACTCCGGGTCCTCCACCCGCCGGACATGTTTCAGGCAAACCACAGTCGATAGATCAGATCAAAATAATAAATTAAATCTGGATCCCTGTCACCGGTACTTTTTTTTTTCTTGTCGTGGGAGTGGGTTACACCAATTCCCCGATGGGCGCAGCAGCAGCAGTATTCCGAAAGGGTGGCACAGCCCTAACTCATCCCGTCGGTTCTTCTGTCGAGGAGGATGTTCACAGAGGGAGGGGAGATTTCTAAGACAAAGACACAAACAAGAACAAAAACAAAAACCACTCACCGTGTCCAATTCGATTAAAACGACCAGCACACTCACTCACCATCACCTAAGACAAGAGAGAGAGAGAGGGTGTGTGTGTATGCGTGTGTCGGCAAGGACCCCTGACGCTGCAAACGAACGACCCATCGGATGCGCTGGACAGCACCAATCGATACACTTGCTGCGGTTCTGCGCCCTCGTATCTTCAAGACAATCGCTGGCCCCTCCCGTCGGTATCCTGGACTGGACTCTTGCCTCGCCCCTTGGCGGTGGAGGATCATAACGCTGGTTCTTTAGAGATCTCTCTCTCTCTCGAGGGAGAGAGGTATAGACTTGGCTCACGCTTCTCGCTCTCGCTCGCGCCTCGCTTCCTTTCCACCCCACCGGGGACCTCCTCATCCACCCCTATCCCCATCACCCGTCCATGTCCATGTCCATCAGTGACTGGATATATGAGAGACAACCGGGTACACGCATCATCCTCTCCAAACACGCCCGACGCACAAACCAGGATTTCACCTTACCGGTATGCTAAACCCGAGTCGAGTCTCGACCCTCTTGCTCTTGTGCTGGAGCATCCATCTCCAGGGCATCTTCATCTCTCTCCCCTAGGAACTTAAATCCCATACCCATACCCATCGCCGATGCAGCGGACCGCGGACCGCGGACAGCGGGCTGAAAACCATCCCCAAAACCACCTTGACATAAGACAATAGTCCCCCCCAAAATATAACAACTCAAGGAAATCAAAACGAAAAGATCCTTTCCCTCCCTCCCAACTCCCCAGAGACAGACAACCAAGAGATCGTTTGTTCGGAATGAGGTTGTGTAACCTCCCTGCCGGCATCCCAGCCCCTGAAGATGTCGGCCATTCCAAGAGCCCTACAATGGTCAGATCCTACTTTCAAACCTACGATCAAACACAATGGGCTTGAAAAGCTTGATTGTTCGATTAAGCAATTCTGATAGCTGAACCGTGGATGCAGCTACGTCTCTAGTCAGCTGGCCCTGTCGTTCAGATCCGTCCAGTCCCGAAGAACCGGTCAGTTCCAATCAACTAGGCAACTTGCCGACCTGAAAACTAAGCTGCAATCCGAGTCGCTATCACATAAATACAAGATAGTAAAGAGATCATCCAAGTCATGTTTGACTGGGTAAAAACTGCAAAGGAAACCCCTTTCTTCCGACTCTCCAACTCTTCGCCCTCAATGCCATTAAAAACCATCTCACCGCACCGTGTCAGATCATCCCAAGTTGCATCGCAGACTCAAATGTACCACATCGTGAAAGGAAGTCTGTTTGAATTGCCAACCATGGGAAGCAGTCTGGGATCGGCAGGACGCTTCTCAGGCTTCGGGTTGGTAAGTTTGACTGTTGGTCCACTCTGCGGGCCCGAACTCGAAGACACATCCTCGTGGTTCTTCGCACGAGCTGCGATCAAATGCGCATAATAAACCGCCGGATCTAGAAATGTTAGTGTTGTCAATAGCAGTAGAAATGACAAAGGGTAGTCAACATACGCAGTGAAACCGATGTAGTAGACCGCATGTACTGATAACAGTGGTCGTAAATCAAATTCTCGAGTTCATGAGACTTATGCCCAATCTGATCCAAGATCACATGGTAATGCACAGGACGAGAGGTACCCTGAAGCGCAATATGCGAGTAGAGCAGGAAGTCCCAGTCATGAGGACTAGTCACATCCTTTTCAATCAAAGTACCGGGCAGTGGGTTGCCGTTCTTATCCGCAGCATTGCGATCACCGGGTCTGGGGAAAGCTCGCAGATGGTGCCGTTTGTTCGCAACAACAACAGTAAATTTACCGGCCCATCTATCCTGGGTAAGCTTCATAAAGATGGCCTTAATATCGAACACCTCCGATTTAAGAACCTGTTCAAACTGGCCGGTCGAGACGCCGTCGCGGAGGTAATAGACATGCTCGGGAGCACGCCCCTGTCCAACGGTAGACATCCATTCACGGATCAGAGGAGTAAGCATGATCTCAAGATTGGCACGGTTGATAATCTCAATACGATCTCCATTAGCCTCGCAAGCACCGAAGTAACGACCACCGAAGTTGTCCATGCAAACAGAGACAGCGGCCATGGAGGGGGACCAAACGCCCATTGGGGAGTGCGTGACATCTGCTCCGATAATCATGGAGTTGGGTCGGAGAGTTGCACCCGGAGTCTTAGAGACCACACGTGCTGTGGTGCCACCAAGTTTGGCATTGACCTTCATCAGGACGTTGGAATAGTACTGTGGGTTCCCCTTCATGACGTGGGACGCAAGCACACACTGGGAAGGAACACCAAAGCGACAGTCGCATGACTTCTTGATCCGGTGATAAGCAAAGGAGTCCTTGTTGGGGACAACAACCATAAGAAGCTGAGGAATCTGCTTGCCGCATTTGGCCACGACCGTGTCATAGAGCTTTTTGATCGCTTCACCAATATCTTCCTTGAGTTCGACAACGACTGGCCGCCGCGCCACTTGTCCGCCATGTCCCGCATAGGCCTTCATGAGACCGTCACAGAAGGCTTCAACCTGAGCTTTGTTGGCAGCACCACGCTTGCCCACAAAATATCCCACACCCCAGGCCTCGAGGGCGCGTCGGTTTGGCTGGTAGAATTTCTTGCCACGAAGGTCCCAGCGGCCGTTCGTTCCAGGGTTGTGGCGTTGGTTACCACCGAACTGAATGTCGGGGCTTGGGAGAAGACGAGCTTTGCCCCGGATCATGTTGTTATCGACCTGGAGTCCGAAAGCACGAAGGACAGGGTCGTTGGAGTGGTCCATCATCTTTTTGTTACCCAGAATCGAGTTGAGCCTCTCAGCTGGGCGAGAAGCACAATACCTGATCATCGCGGAGGTCTGATATTCGTTTAACTTCCAAGGATAGCGGGTAAAGCCATGAATTGTGAGGAGCTCCATGGGGTAAACAACACCTTTCTTGGTCATTTCCACCATAGGCAGCTCAGGGTAATCGAGGAAAATGTTGTACCTCTTCTTGAAGTACTGCTCGACACTCATGCGCTCGATCTTTCCGGTGGCCTTGTCCTTAATGTCAAGCATGTACTGGCGGGCATTGCCGTTGACCAGGCCCTTGATGGTGAAGTTGACGCCAGTGCAGGGACAGCCTCTGTAGTGGGCTTGCACTACAAGCTTTCTCGCCTTGCGATGAACCTCAAAGAAATGTGGAGACTCGGTCGTACCGCCATGCTTATCTGAAATAGGCGCACATTTGTGCACAACCTCTTGAATATCTCTGGCATCCAGTACGGCAATTGCCAACTGCATCACACCACAGCGAGACCAGAAACAAGTGTTGGAGACGTCGATGTTCACGATAAGTCCACGGCCCTGCAAGAAGTATAAGTAAGCAAAGTGGAGAAGGGGAGACTGGGTGCGCTCACCAAAGCAGGACGAATAGCCTGATACACACCCTTGAAGGCGTAGACGCATTGGCCCAAATCCTGGCAGGCGCCTTCAGGGTCGAAGAACGAGCGTTTGATTGCCACGTACTTGGTAGACGGATGTTCGCGGAGGACGTGATCAAGGAAGTCTGTGACGTTCGTTAGCTCTTGATCGTGCTCAGCCAAAGAGGCTACTTACTCAAAGCTTGCAGGACATTCTCCGACATATCGGTGCGTCCCTGGAGCCAAAGGTTCAAGGCCGAAAGATCGACAGCTTTGGTGGGTCGTACAAGCAGACGGAAAACATTGGCCTTAGCACCCTTGGGACGGCCTTGCTCGGCGTCCAAATCGACCATGATGTTCACGCCATCCTTGTAATCATTCAAGGTCCTAATATTATGTCAGTCGGGCTGCACACGAGGACGCGGGGCGAGACATACCAAGCCAATTTCTGGCCATCGAAAATGATGCCCCTGAGGGCGGCCTTCCTAGCACTGGAATCCCAGACTTTTTTGATCACGGCATTCTTCTCAGCGCCGTTGCCAATTTGGACCTAGGTAGATGTGAGTATGAAATGCTAGTAGTTCAGCGGCCTATACTTACATCGTACTGGAAAATCTTCCTACTCGGAAACTTGAGGATCGGATAGGCGTTCAAAGTGACCTCGATCTCCTTTCCCGTGGTGTTGAAGGCCGGGCGAGGAACGGTCTCGCATGGAATTTTGTACTTTTCCATCTCGTCATCAGTACGGATTCTCAGATGGCGGAGGCCATCTGGAAGCTTGTCGATGGCTTCCAGATTCTCCATGTTGAATAGAAGGAAGATCAAATAGGAGAT